TGAAAATCTTACAAAAACTAAATTCAAAACTTTATATTAGCTCTATATTATATTATATAAAAAAAAATAATAATAATTCTTAATACCCAAACCCTAATCTTAAAAATATCTAGGGACGATAATGATTACCGCCAGTTATTTGTAGTAAAACTCTAACTATTAAATTAAATTTAATGGACTTTTTTTTATTTTATTTTTTTTTTAAATTCGGCAGTCTTGCCAATACCGTTTATTAGTATACTAAGGTATTTGGTTACAAATATCATATGTACAATTATAACTCTCTAATATTTTACGAGATATTAGCTTACCCAGTTACTAAATTAGTACCTATGTACGACCTGCTATATGAGATTTTATCTTTTTAATAATTGCCCTGCAACTAGACTAGCTACTAAATTACTGGATAGTTTCTAAACCTAATTTTTATCGTATATATCCTGCTTATATACTACTGCACAACGTCTACCAACCAACTTTCATGCCTCATTACTTATCACATTACTCCTAATTCGGTACTTGTATTACTTCCAAATTGGTGTCCTTCGAGTGGGCACTCTTCGTGCTTCCAGTTTGGTGTTTCTAGAGGAGTTACTTTATAGGCCTAGCCATATCTCAAACAATTAAGTTGCTAAACTAGAATAATATTTTGTGTTAATTCAGGTATTCGTGTCATACATCACCAAATTAAACTACCGATCTTTTTATAGTACTCCCTATTGGTATGGTGTTACAGAAGTTTAAATCCTTAGGACAGGAGTTATGTACCTCATTTAATTACTGTCATAAGCTAGTAATCTGAAAACCACGCTTCTGCCATATTTCGTTATAGACTTCCATATAGGTTGTGTGACTATTACTCCCTAGCCTGTCTTTATTTTTGTACTACCAGATCACTTGCTTCCATGATTTTTGAGGTTTTTTTTAGCTAGTTTTCCTTGTTTCTTTGCGCCAGAGGTGTTCTATATTTGGTAAAGCCATCCTCTTACCACAGCCCCTTACTATGTTCATCGCTTCTCTCACCACTTCTGGGTATACTACATACAGCGTCCTTCTAACCAAGATCCCAATGCTGCCTTAGGGTTGTTAGTACTACCTTGCCAGTTGTGGATTCACATGTACAGCTTTCTGTAGTAAACCTTCTATGACTAATATCACACATAGTGCCCAGTCTTCTCCATGGCTTGGGGCTCCTTCCAAGAATTTTTTATAGACCAAATATATATATTACATAGTCTTATCACCACAGAGTTATGCATTCGAAAACTCCCGAAGGTTACAGAAATAATTAATTAAATTAATTACTACCAGCTATAATCGAACCATTGATCTAGTCTGTGGAGGGTTAGGCGTCTAGACCACTAGACTACGAGACCCTAATCCTACTTTTTTTTATTTAGATTCTACAAATTTGTAAAATGCAAATAAAAAAAAATTTTATTAAATTTAACTTAGTAGTTAATGAGATATTTTTATTTAAATTTTAAAAAAAATTAAAATATTTATTAAAACTAAGTTATATCAAACATTAAACAAAAATAATTTAACAATTATTAAGTCAAATTCAATAAACTTTTTTTAATTTAAATTTTACAAATTTGTAAAATATAATAAAAAAACTCATTAAATTTAATCTAGTAATTGATGAGATACTATATGTTTTTAAAAATAAGCTATCTTCAAAAGATGCTACTACCTTTTCTCTTGAAAAAAAAATATAAAAAACATCTTGGTTCTGAAAATAAGCTACTTCTATTAGCTGCAAGTAGTTGCTGCATATAAAAATTAAAATTCTACTAAGTAATTTGACAAAAGTAACTTAATATAGATTGTTTAACAAGTAAACATACATTTATTCTGAAAGTTTAATATAAATTAGAGAAGTTTTCACTAAGACATTTTTGCATTTTACGTTTAAACATAAAATGCAAAAACATCTTAGTAAAAAGTTCTCTAATTTGTATTAAACTTTCAAAATAAGTATATGTTTACCTACTGAATAATCTGCATTAAGTTACTTTTGTTGAATTACTTAGTAGAATTTCAACTTGCAGCTAATAAAAACTTAATAAAAATTAATAAAAATTAATTGTATCAAAAATAGAGATTATCTAAAGCCAGGTGTGATCACATAATGCAAGGCTTGGTCGGACACCTCGGAAGATCAGATCGTTTTGTGTAACCCTATGTATATCCATTTAATTTCATAAAAATTGATTTTTTTAAAACTTTAAGCGAAGATATCTTAGAAACTACTTATGAAAATTCAATTAACTTTTTTTATTTTAATTATACAGTCTCATAGATTTAAATAAAAAAAAAATCTATTGAATTTGCTTAGATAGTTATCAAGATATTTTCATTCAAAGTTGGGTAAGGAATTAAACCGCTTGTGAAATAGAAGCAAAAATAAAACTTTGAGTGAAGCTATCTCTGCAATCTCTCAAGAGATTTTATTGAACTTTTTTTTATTGAATTCTATAGTCTTTTAGAATTAGAATAAAAAAAAATTATCTGATTTGCTTAAATTGTTGCTTCATTCAAAGTTTGGTAAATAATTAGATCACTTATAAAAAAGAAGCAAGGATAATATATTTTAAAACTTTGAATAAAGATATCTATGCAACCATTTAAGAAAATTCAATAAACTTTTTTTTATTTTAATTCTATAGTTGTATAGAATTATAATAAAAAAAAAATGGTTGTCAAGATATTTTCACTTAAAGTTAGATGAAGAATTGAATTGCCTATAAAAAAGAAGCAAAAATAAAATATTTAAAACTTTGAATGAAGTTATCTCTGCAACCACTTAGAAGAATTCAATAAACTTTTTTTTATTTTAATTACATAATCTTGTAAAATTAAAGTAAAAAAATTTATCTAATTTTGCTTAGAGGTTGCTGAGATATTTTCATTTAAAATTTGATGAAGAATTGGATCGCCTATAAAAAAGAAGCAATAATAAATATTTAAAGCTTTAAGTGAAGATATCTCTCAGCTGCTCAAGAGAATTCAATGAACTTTTTTTAATTTTAATTCTACAGGCTTGTAGAGTTAAAATAAAAAAAAGTTCATATAATTTGCTTAGATAGCTGCCATGATATCTCCATTAAAAGTTTTAAAGAACTTGGATAAAATTAAGAATAAAGCTTATGTTGGCGAATAGTTAAATAAAATTTTGTCATCACTACATAATTGATAGTGGTATAACATATTTCTGAAGTACGTAGTCTTTTTTTTTTTAAAAAAAAAGGAGTTTTTATACTCTATAGCACAAAATTGTAGAAACCAATATTTTCAGTAAGGTATTACGTCTGTTTTCATTTGATTCATGAATGAAATATGTAAATAAACTTTCTTTTATTTAATTTAACTTTCAACAAAACCCTTCGAATATATTACTTATCAAATTAATTATTACCAGTATTTTTATTTATTTTGCTACTTTTAAACTAACATTTCATTATTTTTATTTATTTTTATTTAATACAGGCTCTAGATACATACTCAATTCATAAACAAACACATTCGTTTGTGCAGAATTATCCCTATCTTCAACTCGCCAATATACATTATGTATTCTTTCAATCAACTCATTTACAACTAAACGACAGCTCTCTGTAGCCTTCTCAGCTTCAGTTTTTTTTGGTTTTTTTATTTCAATTAATTCACGACTAGTATAAATGTCAAATTTGATCTCTTCAAACATTTGTTGAAATCTCAACCACGCTTTGTTTGTCAACAATTTTGTAGAACTGTGTATATGTTTGTGAAACACATGTCGACAGAGAAGCAAATATTGACAAAAAAAAAAAAATCACAGCCAAGTACTATAAGACCTGGTGTAGCTTTTCCTTTTTCAATCCTTCCTTCAACAGTACAAGTTTCATTAATCAATAATTGCTGGATAGGGTAAGGAAATTTGTGAATTTCACTAAGTATATCACTATCAACTCCGAATACAGAAATTTTCTTCATGCGAAATTCGAAAACAACATAATCTGAATCTGAATATTTCTTTTTATCAAGTTCAACTGTCTTATAGCAAAAACCTAAAGATAACAATAAAATTAGAATAAGTTATTAGTTTTATTAATATATTGTCTATTGCTTCGACTTATTTAAACTCTTATTCAGTATATATCAGAATTAAGTATCAATTTTATTTTTAAAATTAATTATTTCTTAGAATTGTATGTTATATAAATAAATATAATTAATTTTAATCTACAATTTTAATACAATACTATTTAAATGCCTTTTCTTTGTCTTTCGTATGCTGATTTTTTTGTGCTAATTACAAGAATGTAAGTACAGAATTTTATTATTAATTAGTTTAAAAGTACTGTGTTAAACCTCTAATTAAAATTTTATCTAACTTGCTAAAGAATTACAGTACATTATCATTAGCCGTGGGTTGCACTTTTTATCAAGATCATCAGCATTTTTATTTCATTTGATAATTCTTAAGCACCAGGAGCAAATTCAAACCACAATACAATTCAAATTTTTATAGCAAGTTCGGTATCAAATTCATAACCATCAAAAAGTTTTTGGCCTATTGATATCTCTGATATAATAACTCCACAGCCATAAATATCTGCAGGTCTGCAGCTATCATAAATTTCTGACCTAATAAAATCTTTGAAGTGGCACAAAGAACGTCACAAATACAACTAGTTATTCCATTCTTTTTTTTTTTTTTGAAATCTTAAAACTGAAAATGTAATAATATATCGTGTTGCGAATATTATTATTACTGTGAAAGTTTATGTGAATACTGTATGTTCTAAAGTATGAATGTTATATAAGTTATATACTTTAGTTTTACAAGTAAGTACATTTAAATAATTGTTTTGTACTTAAATCAATCCATATATTTCAAGATTACTACGATATAATTAACATCCATATGATTATCAAGCTTATAGAAATGTATATATAGTTATTAGTTAAGATCAATAAATTATATAAACAATGATTTTACTTACAAAAAAATCTTAGAGCCAGACAAAACCTAAAATGTAATTGCAGTCACCACTATTATTTTTTTCGACTTTTATTTTTTGCGTATTATACAACCATGTTGCAGAAAATATAAAGCCCAATTTATCACTGATTTTTAATATTAATCTATAAAAATAGATCCATTTAATTATATGTTTGACAAGAAAGAATCTGCAATATGAGTATGTATACTTCTAACCTTTTTTTAAATATATTATTATGCATAACTCAACTTGAAGTTGTAGCCAAATTCCCGATTATAAAATACAGGTTTCTATATAAAATTTTATACATAATCATGCCAAATGAAATAAATATCTGATGCTGTTGAATAATAATCTCTATCTAAAGCATCAGTGCTATATATGGCAAAACTCTATAAATTACACATTTTTCTGCAATTAATGCTATAATTGCTGATATTGAAGTCCTGAATCTACAATATAGGCTCTACGTAAATAATTTTATAAATATGCAAATCAATTAATATAAAAAAATTGCATAACAACCTGCAGTAGATTCTTAGAATTGATTTGATATCTTCAGTTTTGACTTAAATTAATTTCAATACTAATCAAAAAAAAAAAAAAAAAGGAAGTACCAATTAACCCATAATATAAGCTAGTAGTTTATTTCAATTCGGAGTAATATGACTTTAAAGGATTTGTTGTAGTCACTTGTAGGAGTAGAGAAAAGTGTTGTCAGGCCCAGAGGGCCTACTGATCTGAATTTTTTAAATAATTTCTTTGGATATATTGTTGTATATCTGAAACTGGACATTCTTTAATCGCTTGTTGGATGAGATTTTTACAACCAGGTTTAGTTCTTTTGTGCATCGCCTGTATCATTTTTTGTCAAATTTTAGAATCATAAATCTTTGCTATCCATATCCTTATAATATGAACTATGCAATAAATAACAGAACATTTCTGCTTGCCATTTTGAAGACCTGGAAAAGCAATTTTTATACTTTTTGACTCTACATAGCTTTGATCAAAAAGAAAATATTTAGGCACCCATTGATATGCAAACTGTCAAATTATTTTCAAAGCTTCTAATACAGTATTACTATCCTCGCTACTTACAAAAAAATGAGCTCTCATATTCCAACATCCATACATATTACGTACATACAAAGTAAATAGGTGATAGTCATATCTATTTATTTTATAAGTCGAATTAATCAATATTAACTATCTATATCACTCAAGATTATCAATCTGATTTGGATATATAAAAACAAGACCCTGGGTGAATTGGCTAGTAATTCTAAAACCAATTTACTTATTTACGCCAGTAATACAAAACAAAAAAGGAAATTGCATTTGTAAATAAACTAAGAAAGTTTAGGATTAGGACGTTAGAGTTAGCATTAGGGTTAGTGTTAGGGTTGTGAGCTTTTAGTGATAATTTGAGTTTTTTATATATAAAATTTCATTCCCGTTATTTTTATTAGTCCAAAAAGGTCGATTTAAACACTAGTTTTTGAGTATTTTCTCTTTTTTGGTGTTTTTCTTCACTTTGCTCACATGTCAGGCTGATCCAGAATCGTCACATTTTACGTTCTCCGATTGGCTATTTCCGTTTTAGAGGTTTGTATTACCAGCGCAAATAAGTGGATGTATTCTAAAATACTCAACTTTATATTCCTGCTTTTTAAGAAAAGCAACTGCTTTACAAATATCTGATTTATGCTTCGGATTGCCAATAAGATGTGTATTAAAGTGCCATAAATTTTATGTTTTATATTTGAGATCTCTTTACACTTTAATTCTTTAATACTCTTTCCTAACCCTAATTTTTCTGTTGCATATTCTTTTACCATATTCATTATTTCGGGTAGCCGATAGTTCTTAATAGCTTCCAGTTTAACCAGGGCCTGAACAGCTTGTAAGTGCTTTAGTTTTTCGCTTTTCTCTAATAAGTAAGAATGATTAGACAAATTTTTAAACCATTCTACCTTAACTTTTTGCTCCAAAAGATAATGTGTAACTTTTATTTTAGCTGAACACAAGCCAGCAGGTCAAAATTTTGTTTTTCGCCATTTTTTCTGTGGTATTTCGTCTTTTCGTGAGCTTGACAGACTGCTCTTTGCAAAACAACAAGTAAAGACCTTTCATAAATCACTATTAACTAGATTTCCATAACTAAATTTAGTTCATACATTTGAGATAAGAGGCTACCAGTTGTCATCAAATTCTTGCAGAGGAATATTTAATGTTTTATCAATATTAAAAAGGAGAAAATGCTTTTGGTCTGAAAATAGAGTTCCAGAGACAGGTGTAATAATTGAATTTATATTTAACTATTCTTAATGATTTTTTTTTAAAAAAAAAAAGAAAAAAAAGACTAACAGTTTAAAAAAAAAAAAAAACCAACAGCTTAAAAAAAAAGTATAAAAGCATCTAAATAATAAAAGCCTCTAATACAAATATTGTTAGAGAAACCACTAGGTTATAAACAGTATGTAGTCACTGCCTTGTCTTTTTCAATAAAAAAAAATTTTAGTGTCTTAATAATATACAAAATACCCATCTTTTGCAAAAAAAAAAAAAAGAAACTATAAAAAAAAAAAAAGTCTGGAAAACTTATACATATATACACATGTAAGTACTTGTATATATTTGTTATAATTTTCAAAATTCTTTCAACTTGTTTGACCTTGTTATCATTATTGTTATTTTGCGTTTTGGTGTATACGCATAAGTTTAATATTTATATACTATGTAGTGGAGTTTCACAGGGACGATATTTACTCAGCGTCCAGAGGTTTTGTTAAAGCTATTTTAATCGGAGAGTTACGTAATCATACCTGGCTTTAGCCATCCTCCAAAAATAAGCTACCTCTTGATTTTTGTATAACTTTTTGGCTAAAAAAAATAGCTTATTTTCAGAAACCTATGGTATCTTTATTTAAGATTTTAGAAAAACTCAAAAATTTATCAAAATAAAGCTATTTCTTAAATTGTAATACAGACAAATTTGCCTACAAAGATTTTTACTAATTTTTTTAATTTTTAAACTTTAATAAAATCTTAAATATTAATTTTAGCTATATATTTACTAAGTAAAAAATATATTTTAAATATATTTTATTAACTTTATTAAAAAATTTTTTAAAAATATAAATAATAAAAGTTTAAAAATTTTTTTTTAAATTTTTTATTATAAAATTTTTTCTTTAAACTTTTTAAATTATATATATATATATATTTTTTTAATAATTATGTTATAACTTTATTTTAATATAGATTTTATATTTTCATTAAAATGTGATTTCTATTTATAGCTATGCTATTTTTAAATCTAAAGTATAGTTTACCTAGTTGCCTATAGCACCTATATGCAACCTGCCAAAGTAGAAATAGCCTCTCTGCTTCTTCTCTATCTACTACAGATATCAATATACAATTTATTGGCCAGAATCTACAGTCTGTTATGATTTATTTAAGTTTTATTCTAACTGGACTACTTGCTAGTCCAAACCCATCTATTTACTTCTTTTAGCGTTATATCTAATTCTTTTTTAAATTTATTCCACTATCTTAATTTATTCCTTTTTCTTATATCTTTTTTTATACTAGTATACAGTGGATCTTCTGGTTCTTTCTCTCTATTTTTTCTTGATTTGAAACCATTTGGGACATTTCTCTTTTTTTTTTTTTTTTAAAAAAATCGATATACAGCTATTTTTCCTAGTTTGCTACTACATGCATCTTTGTAGCCAAATTACATCTTAAAAGAATATATGCCACTTGTTCTACCATTCCAATATTATTGCCTCCAAGCTTTATTAAGAATATCTAGTAATTGAAGTAAAGTTGATACTTCTGTCTCAATTAATTCTCTTGTTATTTATTTTCTTTTCCATAGATTTTCTTCTTTTCTTTTATTTATGAGGACTTGGCACAAGATGTCAAAAAAAAGCTTCTTTATATATATCTAGGTTGTTTTAGATTTCTTTTGCAATTTCTTGCTTTTTATTTACCCACTTTGCTACATTAGTCTTACAAGTGAATAGGTGGTCAAAGTCTTCTTCCTCTTGTTTACACTTTTTATATACTACTGATGAGTAAAGATCTTGATAGTTTCTTCTAAGGGTATTAAATGTAAGAAGTAACTTGTTTTAGTTTTTGAACCTAAAACTTTATTTTTTGTTGAATTTAAAAGTTCTTTTTTTTTCCTTTTTTTCTATTCCATAGCCTCTTAAAGATTTTCTAATCCTATTTTATAGATCTTTGCTAGTAGATTATGTCTTTGGTATTGTTAGCAAATAATCATTCAATCTTGTGAAGTGTGTAAGTAGTTTTTTTAACAAAGCTACAGATTAGAGCTTCTATTGTACTATTCTTCCAAGTTGGCCTAAAGATTATACTCTGGGTCTCATTTATACCAATATTTGTTATTTCTATTTTATTGAAGTCTTTCTTTGCTACCTTGTCTGCTAATATATCGCTTGTGTAAACTTTGATCTTGAATAGCTATATATCTAAATTCTTGGTGATTATATTTTTGGCAATAGCTCCTAGTATGTTTGGTTTTTAACTTTGTATTATAATCTTGTGCTTTTAGTTTTTTCAATTCTCTCTATTGCTTGAATTGCTACTTAACTGTCTGTAAAGATATTTATCTTGCAGTTAGTTAGTGAGATTAGCAGTGTCTCAGAATTGCTATAAGTTCTGATCTAGTAGATGAGAACCACCCTTGAATTCTACCTTTTAATTCTTTTATTATACTACCTTTCTTATCTATTTGTATTATACTATATATATCATATTCCTCCGAAAATAAGCACCCCGAAAGTAAGCATCCCTACAATTCATATATACCCGAAAATAAGTACCTCTTATATAATAGTAATAAGTAACTAAATATCAAATCATTCAAATTATTAGTTGAGATTATACCTGAAAATAAGCACTCTTATAGCAAAAAAGGTGTGCTTATTTTTGGAGGAATATGGTACTTGTCTACGAAATTATTTTAGGTTTAAAAACCTAAAATTAAAATTTAATAATGAAATAGTTTTTGATTTATTTTACTTAAACGATAAAATTTTTTGATACTTTTTTTAAATAGACAAAATTATAAGAAGTATAAATATATAAATTTTATTTGCTCTTTCTTATAAAAAATTTTAATTTGCTTTAATAGAGACAAAATAGACCTTTTTTAAAAATCAATTTCAGTGGTATCACTAATACTATACCCTGCTTTATAATCTTTTACCTTTTTTTCTCCAAGTAAGCTATCTGTATAGTATGCTATTTTTCTATATACCTGATTTGCTTTAACCACTTGTATTAGTTCTTGTTGTCTAGACTTATTTTTTATAGTATTTTTCACCAAGTATGTTTTTTAATTTTTTATATAGATCTGATATACTATTTTTGTTTTTTTTATTCTATTTTGGTTTCTTTCTTCTAGAACAACCAGATCTTTGAGATGCTTTAAACCAATGGATACAGTTCAGCCCCATTTATTTTTTCTTTTAATCTACAGACTTATATTTTTTAAATCACTTTTCTTTGCCTTTAAGATATTAAATGTAGTGCTAATTTTGAATTGAAAGAGATCATATGAAATAGGTTTTCTTTATTTTCTTTATTCTATTCTAGTATTTGAATTTTTCTACTTAAGAATTTCTTTTGGATTCTTTCAATAAAGTGTAAGTTATTTTCTTTTTTCATTTCAAGTACTCATTTTTTCTTTGATTTTTTATATGAAATTTTATATATTTTCACTTGTAAAAATCTTTATATCTAATACAAGTTTTAATTTTTACAAGTTAATCACTAAAAGTCAAATAATGAAAGTTGTAATTTTATTCTAAACTTTAATATTGTATTAAGAATTATATTTTTAAAATCAATATTTATAGAGTTTGTCAAAAAATAATAAAAATATTTTTGACTAAAAAAGTACTCTATTTTTAGCTTATAAGTAATTTAAAATTTTTTTCTTATCCCTTAAACCGTATTCCAGGCAAATTTGCCTGGAAAATTGAAAAGTATTTACAAATTTTTAAATAAAATTAAAAATTATTAATAATAT